AACACAAATCAACAGTAGTAGTAGCAGCAGCGGCAGTAGCAATTGACACTTTTAACTCATCCAAAATATATAGTCCATTCTCCCTACGGCCTGTCCCAATCAGCTTCTGAGACTGCAGATCTTGTACATAACAAAAAGAACCCGAAAATATAACTAAATAATCACCAAAATCACATATTTGACCAACAGACGCAAGATTCAATTTGAGTTTTGGAATAAGATAAATATTAGGGAGAGATAAGTGAGGTGTGGCAACAGAACCAACACCTACTAAGGGCATAGGAGTGTCATCAGCAGTCATAACAGGAATGGAGGACAAAGAGGACACATAGGTAAAAGATGAGGAATCTGGAGACATATGATGAGAAACACTAGAATCCAAGATCCATTGAGAGTGTGGTATACCTGAGGAACTATGAGGCAACTGATTTATAAAAGAAGAAGTGGACATTACTTGTGGCTGCAAGGAGAGAAACTTCTGAAATTGCTCAGCCAAAGTATTGGGATCGGTAATAGAGCCTAAGGAAGTTACTGCTACAATATTATGGTGTGATGATTTATAACCCTGAGGTGGTCTATGAGCAATAGGTTGTGACTGACTGCCAAACTTCCAAGCTTGATTCTGTTGTCTCAACTTAGGACACTGAGCTTTCCAATGACCTTTTTGCTTACAGAAACTGCACTCATCAAAGCCAACCCTTATGTAAGGTTTCTTCTGATGATTAGAGAATGACTTAGAAGGTACAGCTAATACTGAAGGATTCGAAGCAGAAAGAATTCCCTTTTCAGAATAAGATTAAAGCCTTATTTCTTCAGCCAATAACTCACTCACAACAAAGTCAACAGAATTGAACCTCTAAGTCCTTCGAAGGACTGTTAAAAACTATACTAATCGTTGCTACTCTCTACGCTTAATATAGGCACCACATGCCTTTAATTCTGTCGATTCTATAAGAGCCAATTGATCCCAAAGATCTGTCATAGCAGAATAAAACTCTTAAATACTCATATTCTTCTGATAAAGAACTCGTATGTCATTCTCTAATTGATACTGTTTTGCAAAATTTGATTGCATGAATAACCTTTGCAGATGATCCCAAACCTCTTTTGTTATCTCATACTTCGCCAACTGCGTGCCTATCGAATGTTCAACAGAATTGTTGATCCAAGTAATGATCTTTGCATTATTTGCCTCCCATGTATCTATCAAAACAATATCATATCAAATTGCAGAAAACTAGAATGCAAAAGCAGCGGAAAACCAAATACCAAATTGTAGAAATTGAACAGAAATTCAGAAACTAAACAAATATCTTCTCACTACTATACGATTACTCCAAAACACAAAACAAATTTGCAGAAACTGAATGCAAATACCAAATTGCAAAAGTTGAAGGGAAGACAAAATACCAAAATAATTGCAGAAATTGACGAAATACTAAACATCATGTCATTGAGTTATTGCTCAATTTTATAAAAAAAAATGCTTGGATTTTTGTTTTCTAGATGATTGAAATTGAGCGACCTACAATTCTCAATGAAAAGCTCCAGCCCGTTTAGTTCATAGAGGGAAAGAAAAAAAGTTCAGGCACGGGAATCAACACCATTAAGAAAGGCTACCATTAGAACTTGGAGGAAGTTGCACACGCCTCCCCAATGAAACTTTCTTCCTAACATGTTGGTGCGTGAATTTACATGTGCTAAATAAAAAATAATAATTTAGTTCTAGATTCTTTAAGTAATCTTTAATTTAATATCAAATTTTGTACCACTCGATCCCAATAAAAACAGGAAAAGAATTTTTTTTAATTTGTGTTGTTTCTCCTTTCAAAATCACAATGTTTATCTATTGATAAATAAATAAAAAAGGATTTAGCTTAAATTTATGGTTAAGAGAGTAATTAGATATTCATTAATAACTAATAGCATTATGTTTATCTTTGGGGCCAAAATCAAAGATATTCTTATAATTGTTTTTATGAATCATAGATTATCCATTAGTTTGATTGTTATAAAATTAAATTTTTTGAAATGAAATAAAAAGAAAAAAGACCTTAAATGAAAAGACCTTAAGAACACAAATACCTTAAATGGACAGATACGAACAAATTTTTTGTCGAAAATAATAAATATCAACTATTCTTCTCACTGTATACTTATAGCTAATTATACAGTCACATCGTTTCAACCAAGGGTCTTTCTTGTACTTCTTTGGATCGGAAGTTAGAAAACAAAAACAAGGAAAACAAAAACAGCTAGAAACCTCTTGCATCAAAAGGAGCAGAAGCCGCAACACGGAGAGGAGAGGCCTGCAAGAGCGCATGACACGTGGCAGAAGGGAGATGACTCGAATTTATGACGATACACGGAAGACCCACAGCTCAATTCCTTGCCGGTAAAAATCTTGACATTCAGTCCTTTTCTCCTCTTCTTTTTTATCCATTTACTCGGTTGTGATAGAAGTAGAGCACTTACTTTATTTGCTTTCATCTGAGGAAAGGATAAGATTCAAAATCAGGAAAAAATTAGGTCACAGATTTAGGATCGATCGGGTCAGCTTTCTTGCTTGCTTGCTTGCTAGCTAGCTAGCTGACAAGAGGATGGGCCGTAAGAAAGTGGAGCTAAAGCGAATTGAAAACAAGAGCAGTCGCCAAGTTACTTTCTCAAAGAGGCGAAATGGATTGTTCAAGAAAGCTCGTGAACTCTCCGTTCTTTGTGACGTACAAGTCGCCGTCCTCGTCTTTTCAAGTAGCGGCAAGCTTTATGAATTCTCTAGCGTTGGCAGGTACCCAACTCTTTTTATTTTTTAGGTTAAAACCTCGTTCTCAGGTCCCTTGATTACCAACAGAAGCATTGTTTTTGTTCTTGCACATAAATCGCTTGTTGATTTCTTTGGTTTGTCAATTTTCTAGGGATTTGGTGCTTATCGTTGCTTATACGCGAGCAGTCATGGCTCGCACATGTTGTGATCTTTTGTTTCTTTGAAAGGAAAAGCCTTTGATGTATGTGTATTCTTTGCTGCATGCGTGCCTATCCTTCCATACAAAATATAAAGACACGAAACTTTCTGTTGAACAATCGAACAAAACTTGTTGACAATCCTATACATTTAAATGCTTCATTTAGTCTTTTCGTTAGGATTTTGTCATCGATTTCAAATTCATCTCTGTATTAATAATTTGTTTAATTACATGGTGTTTATAATTTTCTCTTAATTACGACAAATAATTAACTACCATGCAATTGCTAAGCTAGATCGATGGTTATAACATGGATAAACAAATTTCGCGTAATTAGGATGAGCATTAAACTAACCTATATATAATGATGACATCTAACACATACACAGTTAGGGGGGAAAAAGACTCACGTTCATGTGCTAATCTTCAAAGATGTCAATGGTCAATCGGTTATCAAATCAGTTATTAACCCTCTGTTTTTTTTTTTTTTTTAAAAAGGAACCCAAGTTGGAGTAATTACATGTCAGCTAAAACATTAATCATAAAATATATAATATTAAAAAAATAAAATAGAATTTGCACATGAAAGTATTCTTAAATCACATAAAATATTCATTTCTAATGATAACCACCATTTTAGTTGTTCAAATATAAAGTAACTCTCTACGTCATAGTAAAAGTTAAGCATTCTCAAAGAATATATGAAATGAGTCGCTAATTATTTATAATTAATGGAGTAATTATAGTATTTCAATACTTAATACGAAAACAGTTAAAAGAGGTAAATATTATTCTTTCAGTTCAAATACGGTTAGTTAGTTATAATGAAAACCATAATCATAATCGAAACTAAGTCATTCAATTATTAACTACAACTGAACCAACCATAACAGTTTTGGTTATAATTGCTATCCGTCCTAATATACGTGGCCAGTCAGTTCTCTCTTTATTAAATCTAGAATAATATGTTTGAACCCTATAATTAAATTGAATTAAGAGATTTCAATGAAATAACATGTTTGGAATACTATTAAATATTAAAAATTGAATTTTAAATGAAATTTAATTTTTAAAATTATTACAAGTAAATCAAAAATCAACCCATTTGATTTTTAAATTTTCATGAGTTGCTATTTTATACCAGCACATATGAATATAAATTTAATATGGTTCTTGTGTCTAGCTTCTTTGTTTGGGCTTGATCAATGTTTAAAAATTTTCCTGAAAAAACAAGTTTTTTATGGAATAAGAAACTTTTCGAAACTCAAGTTAGTAGATATATACATAAAAAAATTTTAAAAATATATAAATATAGAAAGATGTTGAATTTGAGATATGTTTTGTTTATTTGATGACAAAATTATTTATAGATCTTGATTATATTAGATTATCTTGTGAGTTGTATAAAATTTTATCGATAAAAATACTAGTGTTCATCATTGAATATAATATTTGAGATGTTATTAATAAAGTGATTAGTAAATATTAGGGACACTAACTATTAATACAAAAAAGAGGTGTTTGATTGCATGAATGTGGTGTATATTTGTGTCCCCTATCATTGGCCAGAAAGATATCGGCAATCCCATGTAAAAATATGTCCTTGAAGAAAATGTTATAGAATATATCAACAATTTATAAAAAATTTGTGCGTGTGTGGCGGTGTATAATATCGAGTTTTGACCCTTCATCACTTGAAAAACAGTACATTAAATTGTGCGTTAATTGTTGAGAATTATTAAGATGTGTGCTAATAGCTAAGAATTTCTTGAAAAACATGAAAAAAAAAGAAAGAAAGAAAGAAAGGGGAGTGAAGTCCATTTAGGCTGCCAGCCTAAACGGAGTGCCAATTTTTTATTTTTTTAATGCGCAACATCACACTTATTTCACTCCCAACTCTTGTTAAAAAGAAGACGGATTATTAGAAAAGAAAATTTAATTTCTAAAAGCTATGTTAAATCACACTTATTTCAATATTTTCTATTTATACATCATTTGACATAACACTTTACTTAAAGATCAAAATTTTAAAAATATAACTATAGCTCAATTAGTCATGTTTTTAAATTTATTTTTTAGAGGTTATCGGTTCAAATCTCATAAACCTTAAAGCCATTAAAGTTTTACATTGTCGTTAATTTCAGATCCGTAGGATTAGTTAAGATATACACAAACCGGTTCAAATACTAATATTAATAAAAAAAAATAAAAAAAAATTAGAAAAACTAATTATACTACATTTAGAAAAAAACCAAATACACATCAAAATTTATCAAATTATTGAACTAGATCCTCTAGTTTTATTCACAGTATCTTCTTATTTATTTTTTTATTGTTTAATATTAACTTTAAGCCACTTAAAAATTCATAAAATTTATGTTATTACTTTTGATAGACTCAACCAATATTATAAACTCTAGCAATGTTATAAAAATATTTACTTACTAAAAATAAATCTTCAAAGTTCTTATTCATCCATGTATTGTTAATTTTGCTCCACGTCATGTATAATTGAAAAGAGTTCTTCAAATAAAAAGATTTGTATATAGTATATCATTAATGCTATTATGATTGCATTAAAGGATATGTTATGAAATAAATAAAATTTTAAAAAATAATATATAAAGTTAAGAATGTATTATAAACCATAAAACTTAAAGTCTAGGTCTTTTGAATCAAATTCAAATTCAATTATCAAATATAATAATTAATAAGATCTTACTAAAATTTCTTCACATCTTAACACCTTAATTATATCTTCATGCAATATAAATAGATTTTATTAAAAAAATATCTCTTTTAGAAAAAAAATGGAGAAATATATTTATCATGATAATTATTGAGTTAGAAAAGTACATTGTAATTTTATTATGTTAAAACTTAAATGTTAGCATCTATCATTCAATAACTTATCAAACTTATATTTTCTGCAAAATCTTTTCAATAGTTTGAAATTATAGATATTTATTAAATATTGTAGTAATTAAAATAACTTTGAAATTTTTTTGGATTACTTATTATTATTTTTTTAATATCAATGATTCTATTTATTATAAGTATGCTAATAAACTTTGGATTTAGTCAAAGCACTCAACTTTGAATTTATTATTATATTTATTCGAAGCACTCAAATTTGAATTATTCAGAGGAGAGTTATGTTAGCCATTAGAGAGATATAACCAGGATAATTCATAGCATATTATTTTTGTATCTAATAGTTCGATGTCATCATCTAATCAAACTAGCTTTTTAAAATAAAAATGAAAAAAAGTATTTTATAAAAAAATGGAACTTTGTTTTCCTTTATATTTTTTTTAATCTTGAAAGTACTATATCAATTTATTACTATAACATGATACCAAAAATATCTTTTCAACTTCTAAGTATACTTACATAAACATTGAAAGATGGTACTTTCATTTTTACATCTTGATTCTTATTTTCTATGTTTTAAAAATAAAATAAATTATTTAATTATAAATTATCAAAATGTATATAAACTTGCTTGCCTTCAAATCAAATATCTTAATTTGACAAGTATTCATGATTTCTCATTTATTAATAATCCATAACCAGTTACATATATTAAAGATCACAAGATATTTTTAAAATAGTTAAATCATACATGTGCGACACTTGTAAAAAAAACCTAGTAGTCATTAAATGTCCTAGGATTATTAGTTACTCAATTCTTTAGAATGTTAACCTTTTTTATCCTTAAAACAGAAAAATCTAGTTCCTAAGGTGGAAAGAAGGAGGATGTATGAGAGGTTATTGTTAAAGAATTATATAAATTATATTTTGAGAACTTACTAAACAATATAAGTTTTTAGGTTAAGATAGTTCTTTGACATGATATCAGAGTCTTGTAGATTAAGCGGTCATGAGTTTAAATCTCAGCACCCCCAATCTATTTGATAAAAATTAAACACAATGTACTATAAGTCTATGCAAGTTTCAAGCCTAAATGACTTTAATTTAAAAGGATGTGTTAGAGAATTATATAAATCATATCTTTGAACCTCACCTAATAGCTTAAGTTTTTGGATCGAGATGATTATTTGAAAGTTATAACCAAGGTTGTTAAAATCACGAGTTCACTTATGAAATTGTATACTTATCGTGCAAAATCATATAAAAATCAAGAAATGATAAAATCATACTAAAATCATGTAAATTCGGTAAGATTGTGATTTTACTACCGATCATGAGCCCCACAAACGCTTGTATTTATGGATTTTATCTTCAATCAATAATGCAAAGATAAAAGAAACACAGTTTTGCTTAAACCCTTCCTAACAAATAAATAATTATCTATTATAGGACAAAACTTTGAAAATTCTTAATCTATAAGGATTTTTTTTATAAACAAGAGTGACAAACCATACTTTAAAATTTGATCCACCATGTATTTATGTCTAAATACTATAGTTTTTTAAACAAGTTTACAACATTATGATTTCTCTATAGAAAATCTACAACTTGTCTAATATATGATCTAACAAGGAACTAGACTTCAAGATTAGAAAAATCATGTATTATTCATCAAGGTGAAAACATCAGATAAGCTAAAACACTACAAATGATCATGTATTTAAAGGGAATAATGGAACTAGTGTTAGTCAATAAAAAAACATAGTTTTGAAAACATAGTTGTTTTCAATGTTTTTTTTCTTAATGTAGAGTTTTACCTACCACTCGTAACTTTTTTTCTTAGATATTGCATGGTAAGATTTTGTCATACAAGAACAATTTCACCATATTTTTATTGATAGAATTGCTTATTGTTTGTATCAACAATGTATGAAAAAAAATTACTCATGATTTTATGATTTGTTTTTACAATCCGAATTTACATTGTATTTTTCATATCGTGTTAAAAGAGTATTTTTAACAACCTTGGTTATAACTACATAATACTAATGAAAGAAATAATTTGAAAGGATTCATCTCTCTTTCATTGTCACATTTTCAATCTTCCTAACATAAAAGATAATTAAGTAAAACACACAATTTATCTTTTATCCTTTGTTTTCCTTTAAGATGGTTCTTTAATGAAAGCACGTGATGGAATATAACTATGCATGACGGATGATAGGTTATGTGCAATAAGTTTGACAAGTTTCTATTACGAGAGTGAGATTACCTAAAAGCTAATTCTTGACCCCTTATGATATAGGGTGTAAAGGTGTGCATGGGTTAGGTTATGTTGATTTAGACCAAAATCCACATCCAACCCAAAGTAACCATTTTTTCTAATATGAAACCTAACCCTATATGAAAAGATCGACATGTGGTTGTGAAAGAAAAGGGTTTGATGAAGAAAATTCATGATTCGTAGAATCAAAAGCTACATGAAACTAAACTGAAAAGGAGGCATCTATTAGAAACAAAAACTGATTATATCTTAACTATTAATAAGACAAGACTTTTTTTTTAAGGTGAATGATTTGAGAGGTGGAGGGTTCTCTTTTTCTAAAATAGTATTTTTGTAATCTTGAATTCATGGTGATAAGTGAATGATTTAAATGATACAAGGTAAGATTTTTTTTATTTGGTCAATATCAAACACTTCTTTCATAAACACTTCTTTCATAAGTGTATGAAGCCTTTGTAACATCAATATTTATAAAGGAGCGAGATATTGTGTCTTAGTTTAAATGCTCTCCTAAGTGTAGCTAAGTTTCTTAGAGCTATTAAATAATGGTTTTGACAAAGCCTTTTAATTAATGCTATGATAATCCAATCCCTTAATCCCCTCGTTTAATGGAATACAAGCACATAAGATTCCTCTAGGAAATCTTCATGATTTAAAAGGAGGTTTTTTTTATTGATCGTATTACATGATAAACATTTTATAAGATCTTTCTAATGTACATACCCTGTTGTTGGATGAAAACATAAGAAAGTGATAGCTTAAAACTAATGATTTTTCATAATACAAAAGAATGACATGTTTTTATTAGTTAGGATAGCATTTATTTGTTCTTCGACCAAGCAGAGTTTTGCAATGAATAAAGAAATCAAACCAAAAGATCATATATGTGTTCATTATCTTTTGTCATCAAATTGATTATTTTGAGGTGTTGCTTTGCTCACCCTAATACATTTTGTCATCTTGGTAGGTATAATCAAATATTATTTATCTCAAGATTTGATTTTAGTTACCAAGACTCATCTTCTTCTTATACAATACAGTATAACAAGTATCCTCAAGCATTACATGAGTCATTTTAAAAAGATGGCAACTTCATCCAAAGATGTTAATCATGCAAAGGTATGTAATGCTTGTGTCATTTGAATTATTGGTAATGTAAATATCATTATAACAACAAAGAGAATTAAGAAAAAAATAGATTTTTAACTTGATTTTTGACATATCATTATTTTTTTCCTCATTTCTAAATTTATATTCCTTATAGTATAGAACCAATGCTAAATATCTATTTCCTAAACAGGCATATTGTGATAAACATGCAAACTTGAAATCACTTCCAGAGTTACAACTAATGGTTGAAAGGTTTGTCGTTCAATTTCCAGTATGCTTACTCCATGTGTTAACATAAAAATGCGTAACATCTACTAATGTATATTTTGTCACAGGATCCTTGAAGGTCCATATGCTATGGAGTTAGCCTTGAGTAACCTCGTGGAACTAGAGAAACAACTGCAAGCTACTCTAACATATGTCAGAGCTAGAAAGGTTAATTGTCTCTCTTTTATGACTTTTTTTGTCCTTTGTCATTTGAAATTTGTATTGTGATGCATCAGGAACCCTATTGTTTCCACTAGACAAGTGTTATAAATATTTTAGATTGTTTTCCTTGATAATTGCACCATTTTATACTTGACAAACTCTGCATCAGGATTTGAGCTTGGCTCAGGGCGTCTTTTTCCAAACCTATGATGCAACAAAGAGAAGGGTTTTAAAGCAAAATCTGACATTCATATAACCAGATTCTATAATTGAATCCCACATTCCCAAATAAGTGAAGTATTTGACTGTGACCCAATTTTATAACATTCGAGGACCAACGGAAGAAACACTAAACAATTATCTGAGTATTCAATAATTATCAAAATTAGGATAGAAAATAAATATAAACATTTAATTTATCTTAGGAAACGCACTTGTTTCAAAGTCATTTTCAAAATACGTGGTTTAAGGTTCATTTATACTAAAGTCATTATGGACACATTTGGGTTAAGATCCCCTAACACTAAAGTCATCGTACAGGTTGCCTAGTTTAAGGTACATCATAAAGTTAGGCTTTTACTATATGATGCTTTAATATTTTGGTACAAAGTTTGCATTTCACCTTCTTCTATGAAATGTATAGTTCATAGTTCATAAAAGTTCTAATCTCGTTAGAACTTTGTAATGTTTGACAATATTATTAGTGCTATGAAATATTATGAGTCTAGCTGATCACATATTCTTATAAGTTCTTATAATAGCCTCGTACATTCCAACAGCTTCTAGTAGATCATGGCAACAAACAACTTGTTTTTTGCTATGGTAGATAATAGAAGATCTTTAAATTGTTGAAGGGATAAAAAAAAGTTTTAACAATCAGAATTACAGTACTTCGGAAACATGTATGATATTATACAAGCAAGGCTAGGATCTATAGGAAAACACATGAACTTCCAAAAATACTAATAGAGTCCTTGAAGAATATTCAGGATGCTACAATGCCGAAAGAAGCATAAGACACCATTACTAGTATTTTCTCAAAGAAGAATGATATTATATTGTAATTTCTCGAGAATGAGTTATTGTTATTGACATAATAAGACATGACGATTCCTCAATAATTTCATCAGGTGAAATCATCAAATTTCTAAATTAGACTTTGAAGCAATTATTGATGAAACTAGGATGAAAAGAATAATCATACTTGGATGAAAAGAATAATCATCCATGGTTTAAGACCTAAATATCATACTTTTATTGCTATACTACAAGGATAACCTACTCAACCATCAATATTTGAGTTTAAAAATCTACATGTTAGTCAAGACAATATGGCTAAACATATGACAGAAGTCTCATTGAAGGGTGAAGAGAAATTACTCTACACCAACAATGGTAGGAGTAAACAATGGCTTTCTCGTGACGACAAAATTCACAATTGGCACATAGATGGTAAATCTAATAAGGATTGTGATAAAGAAGAATTATCGAAGGAAAAAAAGGCTTTCATATATATATATAAAGCTTTAAAGAATTATGGAAATGACAGAAAAATTGAAGGCAATTGTTATAATTATGGAAAGAGTGATCATAGAAAAAAAGATTATTGGTTTAAAAAGCCTATTAAAGATAATTGTCATAATTATAAAAACAATGTTATTATTTCAAGTTTAGAAAGGCAGGTTGAAGATGAATAGAATGTTAAAGCATCCTTTGTCAAAGAAGGGAAGAATTAGCGTTAACAATGATAATTGATGATTGAATCAATTATGAAAGTGATTGGATCATTGCTCCAGTGTTCTAATCACATGAAAGGTGATAAACAAAAGTTACAACATCTAACAAAGTAGAATAAAAAAAATTATGCAGTGATGATAACTGATAACTCAAGATTACTAATCACATATATTGGTAAGATGATAAACACGCTTCGCTGTAAATCTGATCATTTACATCTTCAAGATGTTTATCATGTCTCATGCATGAAGAAAAATTTATTGTCTATAGTATAATTAACATGAATATGCTATTATGCCTTGTTTGGTCCACATGATGTTAAAATATACCAAGATTATTATTGTGATTAAGATTGCGACTGTAATCTTGATCATGATGGAGAACCAAATCAACAACTAGAACTCTCTTCTATTGATCCTTGTAAACAAAAGGTTTCATTACAAGTTTAAAGCTCTAAAGGTGTTTTTCTTTCATTAAAAAAAAAAAAGAATGTAAACAGGATGAAGTATAGTCTATTGCAACACCTATAAGGTCATCTCTATGTAATGAAGCTGCATTACCAAATCATATATAAGGAAGTAACAATGGTTCTTATCCGAATAAAGAAGATAATTCTGATTGTCCAATGTCTATGAATAGTTCCTTGGCTCCTTTTGAAAAATAAAAACTTTTATCAAGAGATGATGCTTGGGAAGTTAGAATTGTTCAAACAACCTAGAAGAGCAAAAGTTGGATGCAAAGCTAGACCAATCATTTATAAAGATGGATGTTGTTGCTTAAATTAAAAATTCTATTCAGAATTGTTATCCTTCTCCAAGAAGAATTTTTGCTCTTAGAGATTTCAATGCTCCATTTTTTAATAAGAAAGAAGTTGTGTAAAAGAAGTGTTTGGCTCAAGAAAAGTCTAAAGAAAATTTAATAACTAATGATGTTAAGGGTAAAAGTTTTAAGAAAGCTTTAATATCTATATGGTGTCATTGTTGTTGAAAAGGTACAATTGAAGAATTTAGTTGATAACATTGGAGATAAGCTATAAGAAATAGAAAACTCGCAAGCCTAAAGTTACTCTCAATTGAAAAAGTTAGGAATCTAGTTAGAGATATGGAAACACCAACATGGTTTGAAAGAATGTAATTGATTATTATGACAAACACTATCTTCAGTCCATTATTTGTTGCTTGATTGCTAGTTTGTTTTCTATTCTAGAATTTTAGAACTAGTGTATTTTGTATTTCTGGGCACATCCCATTCACCAGCACAAACTAGGAATCTATACTATCTCGTAATATCTCACTACAGTGCTTTTCATCGTTTTTCTTTTTGTTTCAGATACAAATGATGTTGGAATCAGTGAAGTCCCTCCACGACCAGGTATGAAAGTGCATTTGGTTATAACTGCTTTGAAAATCATTTTCTGCAATATATAAACCCCCATTTGCAATCAATGCATGAATGCTGCATGGAGAGAGCAAGACATGATCTTAGGATCCTCATTTTTCTCTAGTAGCTCTTTTGACCAGAGAAGGTTTCTGATACAAAAACTTACAGGTTTGCTTATCATACAATCCAAGTATGAGAAAACTTCCGAAACATCTTATTCATAATTAAGAAAACCTACCTGTTGTTTCCATCCACCATTTTATAGCTGCTAAAATGCTCATGTCAAGTCCAGGATTCCCGGACCAGCATATAGCATCCCTTTACTGCATCAATGATACCTGAATTAATTGTCAACGATGATCTTCCAAGGATGCAATCGGTCTATTGATCATGCTTTAATTGTCGTCTAAGAACTTTTGATCAACCTCCTGCATTATGTTTCAAATTTGCATGCTATCCTGAACTAAATTAAAAAAAATAAAATCCAGAATGCTTCTTAGCGAAATAGTAGAATAGAGCCGGTCCAAAGCAATTATGGCTGATCAACCTTACTGAGCTTTAGGTGATATTATTGCATTCCTAATTTCTGGTTTCCTACTTGTACTGGTGGATAACTAGCAGTACTCTTCATTGTTGGGCATAATCAATTCGTAAGTCTTTCCCACTGCCTGTTAAAAACTGTTTCCTAAGAATGTCAAAGCTAAAATTGACTTCAAAAGTAAGGCTTGCTTATCGTACAATCCAAGTATGAGAAAACTTTCGACTAAAAATTATTTTGCTGCATACTTCGAATCCTTGCACATTATTATGATCTCTGGAAGAACAATGCATGATAGTTACTAAATTATTTTGTGGTGAGATGGTCAAGTTTGGCTCTATGTCCCCCCCTGTATTGTCTGACCATGGTCAAGTTTGGGCCCATGCATGGTCTCTAGTAACCGTTCATTCTTATTCGAGGAACATCATTAGGTAATTCAATGAAGTAAGATAGTTACTAAATTAAATTTCACGAGGAAGGGAAAGCAGTAATTTATAATATAAAGCAAGCCACAAATGACAAAAAAAAATAAAATCATGTGGGTTTTCTGCTCTTTGTTTGTGTTCTTTAGTGCTGTGTGCTCAGTTGCAGTTTGCTTGTGTACAATTCTACATGAATGAAGTGATCTCATTATCAAATGTCTTTATTATTTATATATATACATGTATAGGAAAAACTGAATTAGGTACCTTTGATTCAACAGGAAAAGATGCTGAAAGAAGAAAACCAGCTGCTAGAGAAACAGGTAACGGGCATTCTGCTCTTTCTTTGTGTTCTTTAGTACTGTGTGCTCAGTTGCAGTTTGCTTGTGTATAATTCTACATGAATGAAGTGATCTCATAATCAAATGTCTTTATATATATATATATATAGGTATCTTTGATTTTTATATGAATGTCTTTTGCTTTCAACAGGAAAAGATGCTGAAAGAAGAAAACCAGCTGCTAGAGAAACAGGTAAAGAGTGTTTAATCCTGTTGTCATTTGCTCTTTCAGCAAGTGCATATTGGAATTTTACTTGCAACATGTAGAAAACTGGGTTAATTGTATTACGTGCAGATTGAAGCAATGAAGAACGGTACAGACTCGGATCACCCTCTGTGTCATCCTCCACAACAAACTACACTGAGTTTGCTTAAATAGTAAGGCAGCACATGCAGTGTGATAACTTACCGCTGGAGGCGGCTATAATGGCAGGAAATCTAGTTACCTCTTCGATCTCACATGCATGCACTACACAACATTTTACCTTCATTATCTTCCTGCTGAAGTTGCATTTGCACCGTTTCTGCTTCTCTTCTCTTTCTTATTTGAGCTGATGTTTAAGTATCCTCCACCCTCCCAAGCATTTTAACTCTTTCCAAACATTTCCATTTATTCAAAATTAAGCATATATTTATCATTGACTGAATTCTATTAAGCCCCGATACAGTGTTCCACTATGGCCTGTGTTAACCTTCATTGTCAGTAAATGAATTTGAGGGTTGCAACATGTGGAAAATTGGATTGTAAAGATACATAACATTCATATATATGTGTGTGCTCGCGCGCTCGCCCATGTGCATGCATGGTTTATTTAACTCAAATTCATGGAAGTATATATTTAAAAATAAAGAAGTACATATAAATCCCGCGACACTAAAAATTCATCCGGATTAATCTTGAAGGACAAGATCAAGGACATCAATTATCCTTCCCATTTCCTTCTGTCGCTAATCCATGCCATGCAGTTGCCTGCATCCAACCCATTTACCTTTGTGATTATTTCATATTATCAATGTGAAATTAAAGGATTTTTCTTCCTCCTCAACTCCCATTGTGGATATGCAGAGGAGTAGACGACAGAATAAGATGTATGAATCTCTCTCTATTTGCTGCTATACTGACATTGCTTTGGGAGAGAAAAACAATGCATGATACATGTGGATCGAAGAGTGGGCTCTCTAAAAAGATGCAGGGTTGATATCATTGAACTGTTTTAGCTAGACTTTACGCAGAGTCTAGAAATCTCATTCAGAAAAAAAAAAAAAAAAAAAAAGAAACAAAGCGCACCCAGTTGGTAGATATACATCTAACTTCTAAGGTACTAATAGCAGTTTCATAACAGCGTGTTTTTCAGGCTACCGACCTACACGTATTCTTAACTGATGATACGTGCATGGGGAGCATAAAGACAGCAGACGTCTTTACCATTTAGTTATTATCATGTCTGCTTTGAATAGCGAAATAAACATGTTCGGGAAAAAGAGAGGGAGGGAGCTCAGAGTTTTTTGCAGTTTGAATACTTAATGATTGTGGCATTCCATGCATTTGCAAAGAACCAAAGCTAGTAGCTATATGGTAACAACATTTTTTGTGGCGCCTTGCTTGATTCTTTGTGAAGAAAGGTAACCAAAGCAAGTAGCTATATGGTAACAGCTAATTAGGCCAGAGTTTTGATCTTGGCCATTTAGGGTTGAACCAAGAGGAGACAGATCGCTTGATCACTGCACTAATGCCTTGTGAGTTCTGAAGGCAAATCTGTGACCCCTCGACCGCTTGCTTTTACTTTAAAGAAGAAATGTGGGCGCCCTATACCACGCTGGCAGAATGGGGAGGTGTCTCGTGAAAAAAAAATATCTTATCTAAAAATTTAAGTTATTGGATAAGATTTTAATATATAATTTATATTATTCTTTAACACATCTCTTTAAATAAAAGTTCTTTGAATTTGAAACTTGCATGAATCCATATTATCTTATACTTAATTTTTATCAAATAAATAGAAATGATGAGATTCGAACTTGAGACCACCGCATAGCTTTGTTCAGCCCTTTTGAACTGACTTGAGTGTTGCTCTTTCTTATTCGGCCCAATCGCTTATGGGCGGCGCGCAAAAGAAATGCGGTGTTGCTGCAAATTTCTTTGATCGCTTGATACACACAAAATATATACGAAGTATTTTCTTGTCATTTTAATTTTTCAGTTTTTTTATTTAAAAATATATTTAAATTTTATTTTTTAAAAAATATTTTTAATATCAATATATTAAAAAAATTCAAAAACTAAATAAAAATAAGTTTCATAAAATTTAATTCCATATAATTACTTCTACTCATATATAATCTATTGCCAATTAAGTTTGTTTATTTTGTAGAAGAATCAACAAATCGTAACATCGACAATGCTAGAGAAACTGATTTACTGCTATATACATTGCCACTAATTAATAAAATTGATAGGTGGACAGGCAATTTAAGTCGGGTTGGTTAAGAAGTCATGGTTATGGGTTATGACACAAGGAAGGAAAAGGTCAGCATCCAATAATATAATACCACATATACAGCCTAAGCAACAGTTTAATATGGTAGAGACATCTTTGTCTCGGTTCACGCCTCTAACTCATTTATGCAGGTTCGCGTGATTTCGCATGGAAGAACATTTTTCACGTTTTTTTTTATTTATATTGAGTGATCGGATCAACTTACACATACCACAACTAATCTCCATGATCTATTAAATACCTTGTAAACCTAATAAGTATGTAAAATACCGCAATGATAAGCATGCATGTCAGAGTTCAAATTCATGAAAGTGGATCCTTCCACTGTTAGGCTAATAGCTGGAATGCATTTTTCACGTTTTTTGCTCGGCGACGGCGGTGACAGACGACGACGTGTGTTGTCGGTCTACCACAGAAGTTTAAAATATTTTCATCTTTAAGCTTAAAATAACTCTAAATCGATGTCATTGATTAGCTGGGTGTGGGACAGTATTCTATCATGAAGACAACTTTCATTTCGGACATTTCGGAGAGGACAGCTTAGTGTTTAACATGTGTGGTGCATGCCAGGTTCAAATGAACAGGTAATACCCTCAGGTCTCGTGTGCTTGCGGAGGTGTCCTCCCATCCCCTTCTTCCAAGGTAATTAGTAGAACTTGACCTGTTTATTATTCGATCACAAGGAATTTATGGACTCTTAGGGGGTCCCATGTTTTAACCGGTGTTTTCTAAGAAAAAAATAATTTTTTTCTTCAATTTTTTTTGTTTTATTAACCTTTTAAAGTATAAATAAAAAAATATTATTTTAATATAATTTCAAAGAAAAATACTTTTCAAAACAATATATATAACTGTCATAAACACCTTATTTTAGCCTCTCTTGTTGTTTAAAAAGAAATGTATCCTGCAAATAAAGGTAGCTTGCACGCAAGAGTCACTCAATGGCCAACTAAATAATCTACTGTTAATATCAATCACGTATATTAAAAAGATCAACGATAGTATTTATTAAAAAAGTAAGAAAATATTTATACTCAATCATTAACTTCACTATAAAATTAAATAATATAATAATTTGACTTAAAACATGGTAGGAAAAAAAATATTGAATAACAATTAACTAAAACGAAGAGGTTGACAATAGGGGAAAAAAAAAGTATAACCGCTAATTAAATAAATTTTAAAAGATAAAGCTGAAAAAACAGATGATGCTCGCTCTTTAAAAAGTAAAATGGCTAAATCCAGTGATCGACCTGCCACAGTAGATGTCTGTCCAATCAGTGAATTCCATCTCTACTGCCTTTTATTTGTTTTTGCAATTTCTTGGATTTCTTTTACTTTATTTCTTTTTTTGTGGATGAAATTAATGCCATTATCATTACGTGTAATAAACATAATCACACAGATTAATTATGTTAATTAGTCTCGACCGACTCAAATTAGAAAGCAAAGGAATCAATTGGAAAAGCATTACCGAAAATTAACCGAATACATAATTGTAAGTTAATAAAGAGGTATTTTCTTGATTTCATCATCGTTTTATTTTTATAACCCAAAATGTTTGTATTAACTTATATGTATTAGAATTAATTTTTAAATTTATTAAACAAGTTTAATAAACAAGTAAAATACTGTACATATATATAAAAAAATCAAAAATCAAATCCGGATATTTTTTTTAAAAAAAAAAACATTTCTCTATTTCTCCGCTAGAATACCACATTAAATGCATTGATCACCACTCTTTGTTTCGCAAGAGGGGCTCCATTCATGCATTCTTCAATTTCTGGAGCCCACTCTTATTATTCTTAACGATAAGATAAAAGCTTTTTTCTATTTTTTTATTAACAGGAGATTCTCTTCATGATTTATTTATTCCCGTTCTCTCCCGGCTTTTACCCTTTCGAAACACATGGGAGAAAAAGCCATTCACGAGGTAGCGGGCTTTCCCCTTCGTTGCACTGACTTTACAGGGCTCCTTGATTACCCCATTCATGGCTACTAGCTGTTTTTTTTCTAATATATTGTTTTTTAAAATGTTTTTTTATATTTTCTTTTAAAAGTGGAGAATGGCATGGGGTGGTCGTTGCGGCCATGAAGCTTCCATTACAAATTTCAATTTATATAAAATGCAATATATTTTATTAATACAAAAGCACTCTATATACTTTGATTGAAAGCAAAGGTAATTCTTGATATGATTAGGATCGAGAAGAGAGAAGTGTAATACAGTTTCAACACTGCTCAAGCGGAAACCCTAGGGGAAAAGTTAGCGATTTTTTTAGCCAATTGCATGACAATTTTTTTTTAATTATTATTAGACTACAAATGAACGCTTAATTTATTTCTTAGAACATTATAAAATCAGTTTCATAATTAGATTTTTGGCCCCATCATAATATTCTTTTTATTGTTTTACCACGTGCCGAGCAAAGATATAATGGCTTGCTATGCTTATGATTTAAGATAAATGCGATACATTGGACTAGATTATACGAAGGCATGATAATCTCTCTTGGTGTGTAAATTTGGCAATTTTGTCATATTGAACCAATCAAAACGATAAAAAATAAAAATAAAAACACCTTGTTTGAAATGATAAAAAAAAAAATCCTATTCTTCCAATACAAAACTATAAGTTTTATTAAATTAATTAAGGTTTCCAAACACTGAAATGAAGCGTTCAGGAACCGCAATTCACAGGCTAGCCTTTCCATCACATCTAATTATAAAGGACCAAATTGAAGCGGTAGTGTTAGCTGCAAGGTCAACATATAAGATCACAAACTTTGAAGACTGATTCGAGACTGAGGTAAAATTGGAAGACTGATATGTAAAGGACTAAATAATAATAATAATAATAACAATAACAATAATAATTGGAGTGTGTGTATATATATATATAAAAAAGGAAAAGGTACAGCAATTCCATCTGGATAAAGCACAACCCCCTCCAAACAAACAAAATCCACACCCAAGCCTCTTATTTTCTCTCTACACTACAAAAAATTTTACGCATCAAAACTCTATTAATAGAAGCGATCACAGCGCCCGGCGCTGCCTTTCTATTCACTTTCTTGAAAGAATTTCCCGAGAAACAAACGATTCTTTGCCTATTTATCATAACTCATCCTCAGCTTGTTATTTGGAAACTCTCTGTGTAGGTAAAGGTTTATGTGTTTGTCCACTTTCTTCGATTTTATCGGAACTCAAAATCACGCTGGTCTTAACATCTCTAAACTCCCTATCTGCACAGAGAGATAATTAGCCAAGGTTGTCAAATCTTTCAAGATTTAAGATTTCTGTTAAAAATCTAATAATCAAGGAATCGAGAAAAATGATGCGAAGACAGAATCAAGATCAACAATCTCGTGTACTCGACGAGCTATCAGCGTTAGTATTCAATCTCCTCCGTTCACCATCGACGCCGATCTCGTTTTCTGATCAGTTTCCGGTGCCCTCCACGTCGCTGAGGAGGAGGTTGCCGGGAATAACGCCGGGGGGGTTCGCGTCGTTGCTATTAGGGATATCGTTGGCTTTGATGTTATGTGGATCGGTTACGTTTTTTATTGGGTTTTTGTTGATGCCTTGGGTTCTTGGATTGGTTATGGTGTTTTATGTTGCTGGGATTGTTTCTACTGTCTCCATGCTGGGCCGCTCTATTCTTTGTTACGCCACGAATCCTTCTTCTCGAAAGGAGATTCCTGGTAATTAATCAAGAATTCCCTCTTTTGTTCTTTTGGTTTGTTATGATTTGTGTGTGTTTTGTCTGTTTGTGTGTTAATTTCATGAAATCTTTTAAGGAATCTTGGCTGGATTCGTTTGGATATTGTGTTACTTTTCGTTGTCTATGTTTGTGCTCTTGTAAGGCTGTAAGTGGTGAAGAGAAGCAGCTCTGTTTTGTTAATTTGTATTTGGATGTGTTGGTCGGTAAACTTAGGAGGTTTTTTGGAATCGTGAAGATTGATAGGTTGAAAATGGATGTGCCATCTCCTGCAGATTAATTTTCTGTATGTGCTGATTGAATTATTATTATCTAATAAAACTGAAAAGGAGATTTATTTATTTTTTAACTTTCCTTTTTATGGCTTCATCTTGATCACAAAGGTCTAACTATCCTTAACTTTTTTTAGCCTCGGATTGTCGATTCTTTTTTTAACAGGAGTTATATTTTGGGATTTTGGAAACCATGTTGGATAGAAGATGTTTTCGTCGGAAGAAAATTCCCTCCTTTCTGGAGCTAGAATGACAAGATTTCTCGAACCAATTCTTTAAAACACATTATCATTCATTGCATCCTGTCTATCTCTTTCCGTTCTGGTAAACCTGCTTTCCTGCTACCTGCCATGCTATCTAGCATTTAATACTGCTGTTATTTAGAACTTAACATTGGAATGCTGGCTAGATACTGAACATGAGGATGAGGAATAACTCAGTATTGGATCTTGGGTTTCGGTTCATTTAGGGTGATATGTCTTTTGTTGGCTGTTTGAATCTCATATTGGAAATATAATTTGGATCTTCTAAATGTAAAGAGGCTCTAAATATCAATCCTATCGTGGACCTTTTTGCTGTGTATGCCCTTTTCTATTCTTTAGATTCCAAATTTCAAATTGTTGAAAAACTCTCAATCCCATCCGTCTAATCTTGCAACCAGAAGGCATTGTTTTATTTGTAGTTGAAGGTGGTTAAGGTGTGAAAATTTGTATTGATTAAACTTTGAAGGCATGTCCAAATCTGTAGTTGGTGGAGTTTGATAGTAGATGGCTATTTTGACAAATAAATGGAATAAATTGAAGCTTGTTACTCTTGGCTCATAACTTTTTTGAATAAGGCTAGTTAAATTTGACTTTTAATTTGAGCTTTATCCACAGTCAAATTTAATTGAGATGTGATTTGATGGTGGTGGTGATGCACTTGGCTTGTCCACATTCATAATGCATGAGAATATATTTACTGCTAAATAAATCTTGTAATGCAGATCATATCCAGGAAAAATTAGATTTGCTAGGAACAATTAAACATATTTGACAATAATTTAGGGGCATCAGTCATTCTCCTTTTTCCTGGTCTAACATAGAACTATAGGAAGTTGTGTTGATTTATGGGAAGATGATAAATATGGCATATTTTCTATGGATCTATTTCTCTATACTTTTGTACATGTGTATGTCATTGTTTTTCCCTATTGAATACACAGATTATATGCATGTTGGTGTGTAGCTTAATTCTTTTCTCCTTTTCTTGGCTTGACTGCAGCATGGAAACTTTTGTGAACGCAAAGTGGTTCATAGAGCTGAACTATGTACGGGAGTATTGAGCAGCTCTAATGTTCTAGTGAATGGTGCTGCGTATATATGAAATTACCCAGCTTTTTCATGAAATCACTGGAATTGTAGATAACTGTGTTTCCTGATGGCCTAAAATTGTGGATACGACTTCTTTTATCAACTAGAAATGGTGAATATTGAAGGTCTTAAGAACTTGTATAATGAATTCTTACTTGTGGGAGGAAATGGGAGAGTTGTTCCCGGGTTCTTTCTGATATTCAATTCCCCTATCTGTTCAGCAATATATCAGCATTACCATTTTATCTTATTTCATCTGTATTCTTTTCTTGTAACCATATTTAATTCTAAAGAGGAAGGAGAGATGATTGAGATACTGGATGAGTTTTTTCTTTTTGATCTAACGAGATAAAGTTGAGATTTCACATGACGATTCCCATTTTTTTCTGTTCCAATTTTTTTTTCTTCATTTTTTGTTGTTTGATGAAATTTTGAATCCACTCTGGTATAGTTAAATACTCAGATTCTTTATGCTAAATCGAAAATGGAAGGAGAAGGGTTTTAAAAAAAAAAATCATATAGAAGTTCGTCATGTTAAGAACACCAAGAAGCAAAAGACCCGCTGCCGCTTGGGGGAAAGCTGTGCATGTATTATGTCATATTTGCGTAGACTGCAGTCGAATTATTTAATAGGAAAATTGAAGGTTATCAAGCAAGCATGTCGTAATTAAGAGACCACAGCAAATTACATTCTGTAAGTGCTATTTGCAGTACATGTTGCTTCGTTTCTCGGATTGCAGAAGCATGTACAGGCGTTAGCCTACTGGATAGAAAAGACAACTCTTAAGGTCGACTGTGCTGTAGGCCTATGCCCTTTGAAGCAGGGATGAAGCAGGCAGCATCACTAGTCAATTGGATCAGAGCATGGTTACTCGTCATACAGTCGTATAAAAGCTTGGAGATATAGGATGGAACCTTCTGCAGAATTAATAAATAAGACAGGCCAAGAGTTTGATCACGATTGTTCTTTCCTTTTTCTTTTTATAGATTTGAACAGTTGTCCCTTATCCTGCTGTTAGTTAGTTGGATCAAATCTCTTGGAAGTTTAAAGATTCTTCCAAATTCAACCTTCTGGATATGATGATCTCGAGGTCATTTACTACCAAGGGTTTTTATGTTGTGTTTTAAAAATATTTTTAAAATAATTTGAAATTTTATTATTATTTTATTTTTTTAAAATTAATATATTTTTAATGTTTTTAAATTATTTTGATAGGTTGATATTAAAAATAATTTTAAAAAAATTATTAATATATATTTTAATATAAAAAATTATTTAAAAAATAATCATAAGAACACTTTTAAATAAATTCAAGAATTAAGGCAAGCTTCACATAAGTTCTGGTGACGGTTTTATCTCTTTGTACAGAGGAAGCGGCACTGGCGTGATCATCTGTCAAGTGAACGGTGGAATTCAATGATCATCCCGTGTCAATGGCCAATTTTGGTGGCACTTTCACTGCATACGGTAACCATTATGGTCTTGGGTATTGCTACTGGCCCAAACCTTTTGCCTCTGATAATGTAATGCTCTCCTGAATAATTGAAATTAAATTCAATTCTAAGTGAGTTTTTTTGTTTCGAATCCTTTTCAATGTATTTATTTGAATTCTATATGAAATTCAATAGCTAAAAAAATAGCAAAAAACAAATAAAAAGTGAGACTTTTGATTTATCACAATAGTTTCTTTTAAAAATAATATTTCAAAAATACTTTTAACAACACAACAAACCAAATGGCATGTTAGATATTCTTAGCAGCGTGAGAGAGAATATATATATATATATATATATATATATATATATATATATATATATATATATATATATTCTCCTCAAAAAGAAAAATGACATGTTTGATATTTCGGTACTATTTTTTTTCCGATCATTTCCTTCAAAAAATGGTAAGCCCTCTTGCTTTTGTTTGCTTTGTAAAGGCCATGAATCAAAGGGGCATAGGCTGATTTATCAAGACTTGGCATATGCTTGTTCACTGTGTCATCCAAGAATTGACTCCACAGATTCATGTCCTCAGTTCTAAAGCATACCTTAAGCAATGGGTAGAACGCCTGACCATCAAACTTGCAGAGTACCAAAGTTTCTGATATATCAGATCTAGAGTCATATGACTTTTCTATTAACAGTTTGGAGCCATATCATTCATTTATATGGCACCAGGCCTCTGGCCTGACGTCATATAAACACAACAAAGCACAAGGAGCATGCATAGGGCTTCGCATGCCCCGCCCTCGACATCTAGCCTCCAGCGAAAGTTTCTCCCAGCGTCGCTCCCTCTGCACATCTTCCCTGCACCACTAGGCATATGAAAGTTTCTCATGACTTGCAATGTTTTTATCTCTTAACTAAATAAATCAAGAGGAAGACAAGTGAATGATTGTTGTATCTTAGGATAGGCCGAGTGGAATACTATTCATGATGAAAAATTAATTTATAAGGATATAATCATTATTTAACTCTTCTACTATACCTAAAACACAAGATCTATAGATTATAAATACCTCTTCAACCATTTATATAAAAAGTTTATAATTTTCTTATTCTTAATATTTATACATATCTATTTTCAAATCATTTCTTTATAAAATATCATTATAACATTTTTCTCTTATCACAGAAATATTTATTTGAGTATATGAGATGCTACTCATAACCTACTATAGAAAACCCTTTTGCATGTATATAGCATTTGACATTAAGCTCCAACTATTTTAGCTAAGAAAAGTCAAGCATATTGTAAAAACTAAGTGATTAACTATCCATCCATTGAAGCCTTGGTCCTAAACACTTCTGATTTTGGGACATCATCGGTTTCCATCTCCTGGAGAAGAGTAAGGGCCTTTGATACTTGACTATGATGACAAGGCATAGAAATCATGGAATTATAGGTATAGAGGTGTATGTATTACGAGAGACCCCTGTATTTAAAATCTTCTAAAAAACATCAACAATCTCCTCAAATCGACCATTCTCCCTAGTATATGTCGAATCAAGGAATTGTAAAAAACTGTATCATGTTTTCATTCTAGCTAACTTCATCCTCTGAGCTAATTGTAAAGCCTCATCAACATTCTGTGACGTGGCCATAAAAGCGATAGTAGAGGTGTAGGAAACAACATTTGATGGGCACCTTTACGCTTCCGTTTCATTAAGGAGCTCATAGACCTCATGAAAGTTGGAGTTGCTACAGTAGAATAGGATGATGGTAGAGTAGCTGACTCCACAAGGCTAACAAACATGCTCGACTGTAGAATTAATATAAAGATGGTAAAAATATTACAAGTATAGTAGTTAAAAAATAGTAAATATAAGGGTTTTTGTAATAAAAGCATATTTTTTAATAAAAAGAAATGATTTTAAAGATGAAATAGCCAAAATTATTAATTCAATTGATTTCCACAAGTGTTCTAAATAATACGGTTAAATTCAATTATAATTTAATATTTTATTCTAAATATAAAATTCATAATAAATTATCAATTGAATTGCATTTGACTACGAACATACTATAAATCTTTTTTATTTATAACTACATTTGAAATTAGTGAGTGTCACTTTCTTATTTTAATACGGTACAAAAGAATTCTACTACTTTATTCAATCCCGATGATAATGATAGGTCGCCATGTTTTGAGCATTTTCTAGACTCCCCTGTATATTATTAACCAACTTGTGCTATAAGGTATTCCTACCACCACCGACGACCCAGTCCGGCGGCTATAATCGTCTAGTGCTTTTAGAAAGGAAGTCAAATAGTAAGAACCAGTCCTTGGAATCGAACGAGATAAAAAAGGTATATAAATTAAAAAACAATTATTAGGATTGTATTGAAAAATTAAAAAAATATAAACTCATAAAAATTCTCTCCACTCCCTTTCTTTCTCTGGTAGTAAACATATTTTCTAGATTGGTAGAGTAAAAGAGAGGTATAAATAAGACTTTTATGAAATTTTTTTCTTCATTTTCTTAATAGAATATTCTTAATAAAGGGGCACATATAGAAATTAACATTGTATAGGATAACAAATGAAAGACTTTTTTAGTTATTTATTTCTTCATTTAAATATAGAGAAGTTATTAATTTCAATTCAATACTTAAAAAAAGATGTATTTTTCCTCTTAATTTCAATTTAATCCGTAAAAAAAGATGTATTTTTCCTCTCTAGAGGAGACATCGAAGAAACCCTGGTTTTTCAAAGTAAAATTTAAACTTGTTTGATTTTTTTTTTTTTTATGAAAAAGTGAATTATTAAAGAGGTTATTTCAAATTGGAGTTTTAGAAAAGTAAATTTTACTCCTCAAACAAAGATTATTACTTTTTGTTTTAAATTAAATACATATCAAATTAATTGCTTATTATATCTCAATAATCATTATTAATAATAAAATTATTTTTTATATTCACAATGAACTCACTAAACATCTTTAAAAATCAATTTTTACATTTTTAAAAATCACGCTTATACTATTTAATATTCATTTTTTTAACCTCGCAACAAACCATATCTAAATGATGTTAGTTTAGTTAGATGAGAACTAGAAAATCACCAGCTTTCACACGACGGCGTAACTTTTTATATATTCAACAGACGCATATCAATATCATCGACCATACGCGCAATTCCACTGATGGGAGTCCCGTACCAATAATCGAATCCATGTGGTTTTCAACTACAAAATCCTACCAAAAATAATTTTAAATTTTAAAAAGATGTCGTGTTGTTTTATGTACTCACAGGATAGGAGGAGATAAGGCCACCGACCACCATCCTCCGCACGGTGTCCAGCGACGAGAGCGTCCAGCATCACTCTCAGACATTCAAAAACCAGAGTAGAAACCACTTCACGCATGTCATTAGTGCCATACTCTTTCAGCAAAAAGAAAAAAGAAAGACTCAACGCAACTAGGAAGAAGATGGGAGATATGTAGAATAAGAATCTAAACTTTTAGTTGGTAATCGGCTGAAGTATCATTACAAGAAATATAAATCAATTAACAACAACGAAAATCAAAACTAACTTGAAGAAAGAAAAAAAAAAGAGAGAGAACCACCGGCAAAGAAAAGCGCCCGGTTAACGCAACACAAGACATCAGGGCAGACCATGAAACAGATATTCATGCTTCAGACAGTGAAACAGATTATGGGGGTGATCAACTTTGTAAAAAAGGAAAATAAAGGACATATCTTTAGCATTATTTGGCTATCCTGTGTAAATGTGAACACCAATGGCAATGAGAAAGATGGTTATGAGGCCGAAGAAGATGATGGTGTGGACCAAAATCGATAACCCACTTGTCTGCAGATTCCCAAACTCAACAACTCTGCTCCTCCCTGGCAACTGGCAT